TTAGTAACCCTCTTAGCTACATCACCAAAATAAAGACAGTCGAGAAGGGAAGTTTACACTCAATTTTACTTTTAAAATTATATTTAAAACCAAAGCATTCTGCATTTAATAAATATACCTTTTCTTACATTCCACCTTTAGGATATGCTAGTTGGGCTTCCATGGATATTGCATGAATAAGTGGTTAGTATATCCAATGTTGCAATTCACATTTGTGAATCAATCAGAGGTAGATGGATGTGTCTGACAGCGTTTACATCTCAGAAGACCTTCTTTGTGCAAGAAGGGGTGAAATAAGTGCTTATGTTAAAGGCAAAGATCATCCTTCACCCGTCCCCTTGCAATTCTAGCAGTGCCTAGCAAAGTGTCAGCCTCTGCTGCAGCAGTATAAAAATGCGTGGTCTCACTAGAAGCAAAAGTTTTTGGTGCTCTAAGACAGATCTCCATATCCTTGTGATGATATGCTTGGTCCCCCTGCCTTGAAATAAATGAAGACCTGCTCTAATGAAAGATGGATTTATGTCTGAATAACAGAAGGGACTGAAGTGTGTGTAAAGGTATCACTGTAGGTATGTTGTGTTTCTTCACAACTGAAACTTTCTTTCACTACACCAGATGAAATTCTGATGATGTTTATGTTGAGGCAACGTCATGATAACAGATGTCTTGGAAGCAACAAGATGTCATTGTTCTGCTAATGAAATGCTGAGAAGAATTAAGAGGTGGCATAAAAACACTAGGAGAAGGGTGATTTAAATCAGAACTTCTATTCTTGATATCATGACATAAGAATTTGAATATGGAATTCAGTGCAATAAATTAATAGTATTTCCTTAAATATCTTAAATACAGATTATATGTCTTATCTTACCCAGGAAAGGGGGAGAAAGGACAAGCAAAGGAAACAACAGCATCTGTTGAGAATCCAGAGTTTCGGGAGAGATTTCTAGAGAATCTTGCCTGAAAAGGCAGTAAAAGTAATGAGATGTTGATAGTATCAAAAGCATTATAGCTAATGGGAGCTGATGACTTATTAAAAGTAGGATAAAAATACATAACCTTGTATTTTAAACCAGCTGGGATCAGGGTAGAGGTATCTTAGACACCAGCCTCACAATGCTTCAGGTTTGCACATTGACTCAAAGGGATTTTTTTCTTTCCCTTCAGAAGCAGGTGGCTACACCACAGAAAATAATAATAGCTGCTTGTGGGAGTACTTGATAGGAACTGAAGAATCACGCACTTCAGGTACATAATACTTAACAGCGACATTCAACTTCTCTGGCACATTTGAAATTCAGTGCAAATATTAATGTGGAGTTAAATATATTTATGTGTGTTCAGTTACTTGGGCAATAGGATGAAAGAGTTATTTGGTTAGTAATGTTATGCATTATTCACTCCTGTGAATAATTAACAGAAGTAGCATTTTCGGTAAGAGACACAACAGCAATGCACAGTTTTAGAGGGCAGAAGGCTTAGGAGTATTCTGTGTCTGCACAAGTTTATAGACACACATAGTTCTTTAAACTGTGGGCATATAGCAGCTGAAAGTTACTGGAAAAAATAGCTAAAGGGACTGTGTTTTTCATCATAGAAATAATATCATAATAGAGACATACTGAACTGATAATGCCTTGTTATATGATCTAAAACCATTCCAGTATATTCGGTGCGTGTTTCCCTTGTTTATTCATCTGTAAAGTCAGACGATTAACCTTGTTTTATTTTTCCTCAACTCTGTTGAGACTGAACATTGCATCAGTGCCAAACTGCTGAGTACATGGATGCAAGCAAAGCAGGTTATTTAGAGCTGCTGTGATTGTTCCAATTCCTGTTTAAAGAAGCCAGTAAAATTTCCTATCTGAGCCTGAAAAGAAACATTTAACTCTGGACAGAAAAACAGAAGATTTGTGTGGAGAACAGGAGGCAAGGAGGGAAATCGAGCATTTAAATCATCCTTGAGAGATGGTTTAAGGCCCTGCCTAATTTGTTGAGAACGCAGACCTTGGTTTGCAGTGTAATTGGTGTTCTCTGTATTGTTCAAGTCGTGCAAGGCCAATGCTCTGTCTTCAGCAAAGACAGTGAAACTCACAGGTCACAGCTCCAGTGCCAGAGGGCTGGTGATACTGTCTTCATGCTCTGTACTGCATAGAAACTAAACAAAGCTAATCTGTTGCAAAGTTTCTTCTCTACTTGTGAGATTAAGATTGCAGCTGTGCTCAAATTTCTACCAGCCAATTCTGAATTTTACCCAAGAACATTTTCCGCAGTGTTTTCTTGGGTTGTATTTCTCATGAGGCAACTGTGTCACATGGTATATGAAGAAATTTCTATTTGTATGACCAAAAGGTAATCTATAGGCTGACAGAAGCATATTCATTACCATGAGGAAACTGATTAATAGATTGCAAACAGTGCAATAATTGCCCTCTGTTGAAGGAAACCTGTTTCGATGTCTCTTGACTTTCTCTTAACTTTGTTCTTTCTTCTGCTCGTTTGTTATCTTTGTCTTTGATCAGATTTTTCCTGTGGGATGGGGATGCTATGTGTGTTTCCACTGGCAGCTGGCAGACCGGTCTGCTTACTAGAGGTGTCTAAACAGCTGCCTTTTCCTTAGAGAAAACATGGCACATCAGCTTGAGCTGTGAGAAGGACCGGATGGCTGAGCATCTCTTTCTGCACGTGGCTGGTGATGACAACGTTGTCGTTGGATATGGGCACATCTGGCAACACTTGGCTCTGCTGCACCTCAAGCCCCTGCTGCCTTCTCAGGGGTGAGAAGGTGGGGAAGCCCAGGAACCTGGGAGAGGCCCAGGTTGCCCCGGTGCCAGTGTGTGTTAAGGGCATGAGGCAGGGGTGCGGGTGGAGACTGGAATCACCCAGTACTAGACTGCAAGTGTGTGGAATATAGGTTGCCCTTTGTATTAGTGTGGGGTTTTTTTCTGTTTAGTTGGTTTAGTTTGGTTTCCCTACCGAGAGCACCAAGGTATTGTATAGGTTATTTAAGTTGCAGAGCTGCAGCTGTTGCAGAGCTGCTGTTTAACCATTCAAATGTGAATGGCTATTTCATCATATGAACCAGCAACCTCATTATGTGAAGGTGACCATCTCTGCTGCTGCACTGGAGGTTTGCCTGACCACCCCTGAGAGGCAGAGCACAGGCATTGTGCTCGGGCAAGGTCACAGCTTCTTGACCAGGCTGGTGCTTTGTGGATGAAGCACATGAGAGGACTTGCAGCAGGTTCACCAGATGTGTCACAGCTGCTTTTGCTGTTTCTGCAGAAGACAGTTATTGATACCAGATGTGTGGCATGTGTGTTGGAAGCACGTGCATGTCATACAATACTAGGTGTAGTTTATGTTGTATATAACTGTTTGTGAGGGACGGGTTGGCTCTAATGTACATTCTTGCCACCCTGCAAATCCTGGAATGTAAATAAATTTAGCTCTTAGCTTTTCAAACTTTTTTTAAAAGTTCTCGGGCCAAAAAGTCCTCTAATGGCAACTGCCCTGCTGATTTTCAGGAGTCAGTTTGATTGAAAGAAACTGTAGGAGGTCTGAAGGCAATGTGAAAGGTGTGTTTTTCAAATGCTCTGTTTAGCAGATGATAATGACAGCCTGTAGTCTATCAGCTATTTCCTCAGGGGTTCGTTGTTTTCTTTTTCACAACTGAAGTAGTAGTTTTTCTGTACCAGAACAGATCTGGCTATATTAAGGTGCCTATGTGGTTGTTGGTAGCAACTAATACACTGCCTGTGAATCTGACAAGTTCAAATGAAAGCACATGATGAACCAAAATAATAATTTTTAAATGATTTTTTTGTTTCTTGTGAGGCTTGAATTTATGGAGTGGAAGGCTTTCTCTGAGTGCATTGGTGGTGTTATGTTTTAAAAGGTTATGTTTTTATAGGCTAAGAGGTCATTTCAAACTTTTATTTTCAGTAAGCTCTAAGTTATCTTTCCCCAACCTGTGTGTGTGTGTTGGAATTAGATGATCTTTAAGGTCCCTTCCAACCCAAACCATTATAAATATTCTTTTAATTTTTAATTGCCGCAGGAGTTCTTTTTTTTTTTTTTTTTTTTTTTTTTTTTTTTCCAATCCTACCCCAGGTACAATTCTGAGGTATTTCAACTAGGTTTTATGTTTTATGACTTTTTTTCTGACTAACTGAAGTATACTTTCATGTTTATATTTTCTGGATGTTATTTTCACTATTGAATGATAACTGTGATCAAAGGTTGTTTCAGACAGGCAATATCTTCATTCCAAGCAAAGTTACCCTAACTTTAAAAATAATGCAAAGCCTACTCGGGCTTTGCAGCAATCTCAACATAACAAATAACTTGGTTTAGTATTAATTTTACATTTGTGTACCTTATCATTAGATTGTGACTGTTCAGATCTTAGAATATATTTTTATCTACAGGGGTGATTATAGGTTGCACTGTATGAAGAAGCAGTTGTGGTGTGAAGAGGCAGTGATAAACCAAGGCAATTTAAAGAAAACCTGTACTCAGACACATAGATAAACTTTAAATAATTCACATAAATTCACAAATGTTTTCTTTTTTATTCCCTACCAAATGTTGGTGACATGTCTTTAGATGACTCCCAAGCTCATACTTTACATTGTTCCAAAGAACTGCTGGAGAAACTTCAGAAAGGGAGCATTTGTCTAAGCTGTGATTGATTACCAGGTAAGAACCATAATAAAGAACTCATCAGTAGCGTTAACATGCTCAGAAGAGCTGAAAGAAACAGAGGCATTAGGCTTTGTTAGTTATGGCTGTAATTATTAAAGGTAATTTTGATGCCCTGTGGGAAACCCTTGAGTGTATTGTGGTGGTCTAGATTGAGTATTTGCCGACTTATAAAGCTGCACTGAGCAACCAGGAAAAAGGAGAGGAAGAGCAGCATTGGTACTTCCTGCACTTACCAATCACAACTTGTGTTCTGCCAGGACAGCCATATAGCTGATTAAAAAAACCCAACGTACCGTAGGCCATAAAGGACGGTCCCATCTGGATGGAGTCGAATCATTCGGTTTTTCACTGTCACCCCATGGACAAATGACTTCTTGTCGTTTTGGAAATATGTGTCCGGCACCCAGAGCTGGTCAGCCACTCTGTTGTCCAGAGTTAGGTTCAAAGGTATTCCAGAGTAAGAGAGTCTTTTATCCCTCCAAGACTGCTGGAAGTACATCGTCAGGGTGTAGTCCTAGGGAAGAAATAAGAATTTGTATTTTGCATACCGATTAACTGAACAGAAATTTATTTTTAGGTAACTCTCAGTAATTGAGTATTAGTAGCAATAGAAAGTTTAAGGATTAAGATGTCATTGACCATGATTGTAAGTCTTGGCCTGTTCATGTTACTGTCAAACTTCACACTGCTCACTGATGGCAGTGGCTGTCAAAGGCTTTTAAAACCTCTTGAGCCAAAGGGTACACATGGTACATTTGGGTCTCCAGTCTGTGGATTACACTTGCACGTTTTCTGATAGTGTTTTTTTTTTTGTTTGTTTGTTTGTTTTTTTTTGTTTTTGTTTTTTTTTTTTTTTAATGTGAAAAGAGCAGGGTTTAGCTCACCTCAGCCAAATAGCATTGCATACCATTGAGGACATTCTTTTAATATTCTCTCCCTTCATACTGAGAGGTTCCCTGACAATCTAGAAAGGCCAGCAGTGGCCAGTAGTCCCTAGACCTCCTGAGGAAGAGAAAATATGACCTCAGGAAGTATAAGGGACAACTTTACATTCTGCATATGTTGGAGCTGCCAGATGTTATGATCTTAGATAGATGGGCACATCTCACCTCAGCCCAGGGAACGTGGTGCTTTCTGTCCTTGGCAATCAGATATTACCGCACAGAAAATGAACACCTTTTCTTGACTATCATGCTGTGTAGCTTAGCTGAAATATCATTTATGCAGTTCTCCAGCTTTTACTTAGTCTGAAAATAAATTGTTCTAAAATGCTTCTGGTCTGATTTACTACTTCATGTCTGTCTTTCTGGGAATTTGGTGATTTTTAAAGTGGAAAAGCCCATGTACTCTGTAGCTGATGGAGTTCTTAAAAGATGACTGGAACAGCAGTATGTGGACTACTAGTTTTCCTCATCTCCTCCCCCAGCCCCCTTTTCAAGTGGCAGGTTGTTTTGTCACGCATTTTTTTTTTCAGTAGAAGAGCAGCAAAATTATAGATATTATTGAAAAAAATGGTCAGGGGTAATGCTTTCTTTTGTGAGAAAAAACCTTACCTCTGTCATCCTCACAAATCCTAGCCTAGATTCTAATTTTTGAAGAAATAACATAAAAGCTGTCTGATGTGTTTTGCCCTCTTCATCCTCAGTGGCTCCTTAAGACTATCGTTGCCGTGAAATTAAAGCAGAGTTGTTACCTTTCAAAAAGACTTTCTGCCTGAAATGTTGCATCTAGCAGAACTATGAACTATAGACTTATCAGCAAAATAAGTTAATGAAAATATTGTTCTTGCTTGCCCTGGGCCTGCAGTAGTTGTTTTGTATGAGGGAAATGCCATGGCTTGATGATCAGTGGTGATATACAATAGGGCAATCACATCCGTTCTGTGCACCGATTTGCAAGGATTTCATAGATATGCCCTTTTCCAGGCCTGCAACACGATGGTTGCCCATGACAGAGCCAAGGAGTGGGATGCCAAAGGCATAAGGTTTTTTCCCTGGCCTAGGTAACTAGGAGGATGTCAGGACAGCTGCTTCTGCTTTACAGGCCGCGCTGGTCAAGCCTGGAACTACAAAGTAATGCAGTGGGATGTGTGCTGTGCTCTGCTGAATAAGTGATTTATAATTTAAATAGTGGTATGGAGAAGGATGAACCCCAAGGAGGCAAGTTTTTGAATGAAGAATTTGAATAGACTTAGGTTAGAAGCAGACACTTAGAGAAGTTAAATCCCTGCCCTTTGTTCCTCATGCATATGCAGACCCAGAGACTAGACGGTAATTAGATGAGGAAAAAATAAATTTTTATTTAAAAAATTGCTATTCTGGTGCAGTTCTCATACAGTGTATCTGTTTTCCAGCTTGTTCTATTTCAAGCAACTTTAGGTAGAAAATCTCACACACATGGCTGATACAAGTTAAATCCGCAGTGATCAGTGCTTCACTTGGTATCCTCCACATCATCTGCCTGATTCAGCAGAGCCTGTGCAGTCTCCAGCACAGATGGAATAGAAATTCCAATTATACATAATTATCTTTTTTTCCTTCCTGCTTTTCTTTATATTTTCACTAAGTTTAAAGCTGCTTTTGTAGAACTGTCCTGCTGTCCTGGAAAAAAGCTAACAATTGAGAGTGGTCCCTAGGTGGTGGCTCTCAAAGCTCAACCAAGAAAGAAAAATAGCCAAGATAAGCTACAAGAGATCTTAAGGGATGCGATCAAGTGGGGAAAAAAAAAAAAAAAAATTGTCTCTTAGCTATGGGTACTAGAAGAATACGAGTTGCTATTTTTAGCATTGTAGTCTGCTTTAGAAATCTTATTTCATCCAGCTGTGCTATATACAGAATACTGCTGTTGGTAACACTATGGTAGTGAGTATGATACTCTGCCCTGCAATTGTGCTATACTATGTAGAAGTATGTGGAAAACTAACAAGTGTTAATGGGGAAAAATAAATCTGAGCTTCATCCTAAAGCAATCTCAGTGTATCTTAACTCAGGAAGAATATCTATTTCTTTCCATTCCCCAGAATGTGGGGTGTTACTCATTCAGTCTTTTAATGAGGAAAATGAAGAGTTATATACCATGATTGTGAGAGTACCTGTTATTGTAAGTTCTTATTTTTAAAAGCATAGTTAAAGGATATTTTAATAAGCAAATTATATCTAAACTATAATAACCCAAATTATATGGTCATATATTTTCTTATTTTTTTAAATGGAATATAGCCTTACCTTTCTCATATTTCATCAGTGAAGAATGAAATGCCAGCAAACCATACGGCTAGCCAGATCTTGGAGGTTTCTGTATTATTTTTTATATTTTACAGTGATCCAAGTGAAGTGAGGATTTAATGACTACTTGCCTTCTACCCTGTAAAATTTGCTGGGGGTTTTGTGGCTTCAAGTTCTACAGTGTATGAGTAATTTCTGAATCTTTCATATCTACAGTGGTAATTGGCTGCAGAATTTCTTTAGCTTTTTATGACTGCTTCCCAAGATCTCAGGCATCAGTCTAGCTATGAAAATAAATCAAGACTATGTTTAACTTTTCTATTTAAGAATTTCTAATGATGAGTTAAAAAAGCAGGGCCCAATGTAAAAATAAAAAAGAGAATCTGTTTCTGCAGATAACCGTTCTTTTAAAAGCTTTGTTTTAAAAAATATTTCACTTTTTTTTAAAGAAGCACACTAAATATTTTTTGCCCAACTTTTTTTTTCAGTAGATTTAATTGAGCTGTCTGTGCTTTCCACAAGTGCCTCCCTGCTTTTTCAGCGCATAGTCAACCTTCCTAGCAGTAAATGTCTGAGCACCAATGATAAAGTTGTTTTGATGTGTATTGATTTTTTTTTTTTTCTCCTTTCATGTGATGAATTCTGATTTGTTAGAATGAGTGGGGGGTTTTCTTAGTAATTGTGCAAATTTCTTATTTCTTTGTATCAAACTGGAAATGTGACAGTGTATAGATGTGTACTATAACATAAGTCAATCTGTGTATCAATCTGTTTTAATAAGGTGCATTAGGTTGCTAAGACAACTACATGCTTGTCCTAGGTAAGGGAGATTCTGTGAAAATGTGAGTAAGAGAAACTAGCCTATTTTACTCAAAATGGGAAATTATTTCTTAATCTGAATTTAAGCAGCCTCATAAATAAATATTGGTACCAAGCTTCACAGTTCACTTGGGTAATATAAATTTCTTGTAGTAAAGACAATGAATGGACCACTGATGCATATTGCACTTGAAGTGAGAAGAACAATTTATAGCTCCAGTAAGTAATAGGCTGGGGAGTTCCCATACAGTACTACATTTTCATTCTATTTCTATTTTTTTTGGTTCCCTAATCTTTTTTGTGCAATATGTACAGATAATGTAAGGGCAATAATGGAATTTTTCTTTCCTGTTAAACCTTTGTAGCTCTCTGAAAGCAATAGAGATGAATTAAAATAGCTAGATAATTTGGACTTGGTAATTTCCACTGTGTGGTTTACCAGTTCAGCACAGCAGAATATAATGTGGAATACATTGTTATATTACAATCTAACCTTCTGGGAGACACAGAACTGGTACTTTACCATGCTTATCAGTTGAATTATGGACTCTGGAAACTTCTGTTTTATTGGCGGTTGCTTCATCTTTCATAAATTCCAGATATATGTGTTTTAAGGGGAAAACAAGGAATCTTTTAACTTGCAGTGCTCAGCTTTGTGATCTAAAAGACCTTTTGTATTTTTCTTCTTTCCAAGGTGGCCGCCTCAATCTAAGTTATTTTAGCATTTCATGCATTGAAAAACAGCTTAGCACATTGTGATATATTTATGTAATAACTGAATATCAAAGCGCACTCCAAAAGTCTTACCAGCTAAAAATTAGCAATGTGGATGCAGTTCCTAGTCTTTCGTTTACTAACTTTTGCTATCTTGTGAATATTTAGCTGTTATAGATCAATTCAATATCAAATGCTAGATCTCTAGGTGGGTTTGCACATGAAGGCACTATGCAGCAAAACACATCAATGTCATACTTTCAACAGATAACAGTGTATATTGATAGTTGTGGGATGCGTACAGTACACTCAAACGATCTTAAATTTACATTTTATCCTTGGGAACCATCCAATAATCAAATATCTAACAGCATCACAGAAAATGAGATGCAATGCAATTCAAATATAGTGTAACTTAATCAAGACAAACATAACTGAAATTGCAATTTAAAATTAAATATGAAGTGATGATCGTATTGACTGCAATAAGGTCATAAATGTAGAACAGCAATATATGTAAATCCTGCTGTGACTGCAAGCTGTTATTAATTGGGAAAGATTATTTTCTGTATTTATCTTATACTAACAAGAATGGGAAGGGCAGAGTTTTGAGACAATGTTAAGTGCTGAATTTGCAAGTTGTAAAAAAGCACACTCATTCATAAGTTGTAAGCATGCTAATGCATCAGAAGTAGCTGTTAGTGTTTGTTTAGCAATAGTTAGCTGTCTTATCTTGGAACTCCTATGAAGATCTATA